TTTGGCCCTCTGCTGCTGCTGCTGCTGCTGCTGCTACTGCTGTTGTTACCCCGTCGTCGTTGGTGGAACTGACGGACAAGTGTGGGGACGCGAGCACAAGGCGCGCGGGCGCAGCGGAAACACTGTGCGCCCCTGTCACCCGTGCGCGGCGGCGCTCAGCAGTCGTCGTCGCAGGACGAGCAATTTGCCGCAAGTGTTGTGTCGCTGCTCGTCCCACGGCATTGGAAAAGAATAGGAATACGGCGGGGAGGTGGGGGAGAAGATGGACGTTCATGACAAGGGGAAGGGAATGGGTCACCGCGCTCCTCGGGTTTGACGAGCAAAGCAAACATCTCACGAGAACGACGAAGCTCGGAGTCCAAGGGGGGAATTAGTGCTCAAAAGAAGTCGAGCGTAATGTTGACGCAAGCAACCAGGACTTGGATTTGGGGACGTCCAAGACCAGAGGAGGAGGAGGAGAACGGCGGAGTGAAGCAGCGGGTCGGTGGTAGGCAGGCAGGCCCGGCGGACACGGGCGCGGGCGGGTTGCATACGCGTCGGGCGGCGTCGTCTGCAGCGGGGCTGGTGGGCTGGGCTCGGCCGCTTGCTTAGGTAACGCGGCGAATGGTTTATTACACATTATTTTGACACAACTCCTCCGCTTGGGGGAGCCGCGCAGTGACGCGCATACCGCTCTGAGCCAACGCCACGCCGCCCCGCTCCAAAGCTCATCGCCTTTGGTACGCGCTCATCGCGCGGTGGCTCGAGATGAGCGCGCGGGAAAACAAACTATAGGAGGAAGGTGCGCGAAGGGGGATTGGGGATTGGGGGACCCTAGGCGGACTTGGGAGCACCGAGCAGAGGGGCGCGCGGGGGAGACCTGCGACTCCTCACTGCTTGTTTCGCGTGGAAAACCGTCTTGATTGTCCGGCCCGGCGACATCTTAACAAGGAAGGTAATTTGTCTTTCTTGCCGGCCGCGGGACGAGCAGCAGGACATCCAGCAGCTAACAGCACATTGTGTTTTTCGAAGAGTTCGTTCGAAAGGGCCGCGCTCAACTCTTTCCGCGAAGAAGAGAGCGGCGGAGGCGCGGGCGGAAAGGAAATAGGAAATAAACTGCAGAGTATTAACAGGGAAAGGAATGAAAAGACTCACCTCACGGCGATCCAGTCGTCCCTGCTGGCCCTGCCGCGGCGGATCGCGTCCTGCGAGAGCAGCGCGTCCTGCGAGTGCAGCCAGACGAGCAGCAGGGGCAGCCACAGGGCGGCCACCAGCACGGGCAGCAGCAGCAGGCAGCGCCGCCAGTCTGTCGGAGCAACGGAAGAGCAGGGGGGAATTAGCACACTGCAAAGCGAGCGGGACACGCCGCACATACTGGCCTTCGCATCTTCACATAAAACACACTTTGGTTCCCTACGACCTCAGCTGCGGTTAGGAGGTCTCCCTCGACGACTTGAGCCGCAAGGGGAAATAAACTTGGACTTCGGTGTATTAATTTTGATCTTCTATATAAGCTTTAGCCCTTTAGCCAAACTTTCCTGAACATCGTCAGAAGTACGGGGGCTTGAATGAGAATGTTGTTGAACTTCAGCCATGAACTTCGACCTCCAGTGTTTGTCAAATCCCATTTCCCAGTTCTTTACTTGACACCTCGTCGGTGTCCGCCACTGCTCCCACACTGCTACCGTCCGGTCCCACATGGATGCTCTCTCACACTCACACGATCGCATTCACTCACACAAACACACACCCGCGCGCGTAACGCGCTCTCACACGCACGGGTGCCGCGGCGGCACGCATAGAGCGCCCCGCCCGTGAGATCCCCCCGATAGCGAGCCATGCTGCCCGGCGGCCGGCGGCCGCGGCGCGGGTCGTCCGGCCGGCGCGCTGCCGGTCGCGGGCGCCGCCGTCCTTGCCATTGGGGAGGGTGTGAGGTCACGACCTCGGCCCCCGGCGCACCGGGCAGCATCATACGGGAACTCCTTATGCGAGCGGAAGCTTCGGCGGAAGCCGTCAGGATGCGGACACGCGCGCACTCCGGCGTCCGCCCCGTGCACCACTAGGTGTGCTGTAAAACACCGGGCGCTAACACTGCATGTGCTGTAAAGCACTTTATTGGCTCTAAAGCGCTACACCAGGAGGCTGATTAAACCCGCGCACTTCTGTAGTTAGACTGTACCGCACGCACGAGTGTGGGCTGGCTTGCCTATCACCCCTGCCAACGCGGGCTGAAGCGCCGTGCGAGTAGGCAACCCGCCCGCACTTGTGCGTGCGGTACAGCTGGGTTGCCTACGTACTCGGCGCTTAAGGCACCGTGGACAGCAGTGATTGGCAAGTCCGCTCGGCCCGCCCCCACTCGTGCGTGCGGCACAGCAACCTGGTACATTCTGTAAAGCAAAGTGTGCTGCCAAGCAAACTGTGCCCCGAAGTGTGCTGCTAAGCAACGTGTGCTGTAGAGCACTGCTGCATGTCTGCAACTTTTTTGTTTTCTTCTTTTTTTTATCACCAGCGGAGAGAGCGAGCAGTGCGCGCTGCTCGTGTCCAAGTGTGTTTTAACGCTACAAAGTAAAAGGCAAAGTGGTGGTCGCGGCGCATCTCTCGCGCGGAGGGGATAAGAAGAAGGCCAAGATGAAAGTCTGGCGCTGCGCTGACGCGGGCGCTGGCGCTGCTGCCGCTGCTGGGGCCGCCCTGGTCTGGGCTAGCTTGTCGGGCCGGGCCGGGCGACCGGGTCCGAAAGTCCTGTCTGCCGGGCGCCGTGCACTTTTCTCCCCTTGTCTCAGGGCAGTGACGCTGCAGCGGCGCGTGGACCAGATGTCATCAGTGCCGGCCCGACTCGAAAGTGGAGCTCTGGGACCCGGGCGCGGAAGGGCCCGGAGGAAGAACCCGAGCGGGCGAGACTTGGAGGAGGGAGGAAGGGACCTCGCGCGGGCGGACCCCAAAGAGCAACGCAGCAGACGCACTTCTTCTTCCCCCGACTCGACACGGTGAGCGCACACGCGGGCGGCACAGTGCAAACAGCGGACACCGAGGCCGCGCGGACACTTTCTTCCCTAACCAAATTAACATCGCTCATGTCGGCCCCGCCTTTCCAGAAGGGGAAGCAGACCATCGCGTCAGGTAATTACCTCGACGCCGCCGTGTCGCGCGCGGCCGCAGCGGCGGGACCTCCCCCCAGGGCCGGAGGAACCGGAGGGGCCCGAGGCGGATAGAGCCCCGGCGGCGCAGCACAGCTAGGCGTGTGTTTGTTTTCAATAATTTAAAATTGTAATGCGAGGGGGGCAGGCCGAGGACGCCGCCCGTCCAGCGAGGCCTCGGGCCTCGGTCCTGTCCGCGCCGCGCGCGCCGCCGGCGTCCTTCCGACTTCCGCAGCAAACGGATTCCTCCTCCTTCTCCTTCACAGCCGGCTTCATGTCTACGCGACGTGCGGCATCCGCGTGCCCTGCGCCGTGTGTCCTTTTGTAATGACGACGTAAAATAACAACTTCCGACGCAAAGAAGTTTTCGCGACGAGCAGCATGAGCAACACGACGCGCGGTGGTCAGTGCGGCGAGCAAACGGGTCTTTCCTAGAAGTGCAAATGCCCTCGCTGCTGCCTCCTTTGCAAAAAATAACAAACAAAACAAAACATTTAAAAAAAACGCGAGGCGAGTCGCGGAGCGTCCCAGCCCGACACGCTAACCACACCCCGCATAGGACAACACCTCCCCTCTGCACCTATCTGATGACGTCCCCACGACAGCCGCACGAGAGCAAGCACGAGAGCAAG